AACAAAAAACTATCAGATTCATTTCACCTGAAAATCTCCTCTCATTTTATAGTCAGTTATTTGTGAAAGGCTATCATGGGTCGTCCTCTCTATCTTTTTGTGGTTAACAGTTGACACTTTTAATTAACTTTAATTAACTGTTACTACTACATGATTGTCCACTATCTCCAGCCCCTTGCTTTTAGTGTTTCAATTGTTTAATTGTTTATATTAATAGAGTCAAACAGGCCAGATTATGTTGAGCCATTCAAGGGGATTATAAATTTAAAAACAAAGTGTAGTAGGTTAGACTGTACCTCGTCCACTGATGATGGGGAATACGACATATTTAACAAAAGAGAGGACACCATTCTCAGTAATGTTACCAGGCTCACAAAATGCCTAATAAATAAATAAATAAATAAATTATAATTATTGGTAATTACTTTCTTTAATTTCTTTTTTACATCTTCTGCTGAATCCAAAGGATCAATTTTAGAATCCTAAGAAATAAATAAATAAATTAATAAATACTTCTACCATGCCTACTTGCAATTGACCAATCAGATTGCGTTATACGAGGTAAATATAATCGCTTATTTACCTCGCCGAGGTAAATATAGCCAACTTATTAAAGTCGCCAAACAGGATTTCTTAGTTATTTAACTCGTGGACAGCCCGGGAGCAAACAGGTTTCTAATTATTTACCTCGAAGCATAGCTATGGCGTCTGGAGTAATCATTTTTAGCAGAGAAAGCAGCAAAGAACATCGAAAAGAAAGAAATAGAGCCTCAAAAGCATTGGGCCATGTGATAAACTTCTTAATGGGTGGAGTGGAATTGGAAAGGCGTGTTCTGGGCGTGTTTTTACTGTACACACATGGCGCGAGTGGAGAAGAGATTTTCCTGTTTCTTTTAAGAAGATACAAAGAAGTAAAGAGGCCTTGTACTTTTATAAAGTCTTGCTAATCATGGGCAGTTTCTTAGCTACAGATTTGGCATGGTAGAAGTCTGTTATACACCTCGGTCTCGGTTGCTATGGGTTTATTTACCTCGGGACTGCGTCCCTCGGTAAATAAATCCCATAGAAACCTCGACCTCGGTGTATAACCTATACTTAATTAATAAACTAATACTTACAGGATCAGAGGCACTCATTTTAGCACCTGTCAGACCAGGGACTGGGGGAGAGAGAGAATGGATAAACCACACCCACTAATAAACCACACCCCTTACCCATTGGATTCATGAAGTGGATACGTTTCTTGTAACCTAATCTGGGGAGGTACTGGGAGGGGCAGAGCAAAAAAAACAAAAAAATTATTATTATTATTATTATTATTATTATTATTATTATTATAAAAATAACGAACATGTACAAAAACAATGACTAGAAGAAAAGAATAGGGGAAAG